TTTACATTCTCATTTTTTTGTAAAACTAATTATGAGATATAATAGCATTAACAAATAAATTTTCCATCTGTTGTGAGACTTCTTTTTCTGGGGATGCTAAGCGATGCTTATTGCCTTTCAAGGTTCTAGTGTCGAGCCAATGTTTGATTAAAGTTTTACTGGAGAACCAAGGAAAACTCTTAAGTTGTGTAGGCTGTTCTTCAAGGAATGGTGGAAGGAGACTATGGAAGGCAGGGGGGAGGAAACCAAGAGTTTTTGCTTGGTGTTATAAACTCAATGGGTCAATTAAATATCTCCATACTCCTAGCTAAAGCAGAGGTGTAGGGTAAGAAGAATATTGGATCCACATGTGTAGAAGTAATGAGCAATATTTCTACCAAAGTTACCATGCAAATAATATTTAATGCACTGAGGTTGGATGATATTTTAAATGAGAACATATGAGGCATTTCTGCAGTAAAAGAAGAGACCAGAGCTGACTTAGAAGGAGCCATCTATGAAGAGGAGCAGAAGAGGATATGTCCTGGAATCAAGTGCAAAACACCATGGCTTGTCTATTTTCTGGTTTGCAGGCATTGCCTACCTTTACTTAGGATGCTATTTCTCTGACTTACCTCTGTGATTCTTTTGCAACACTGATACCTAATTCAAGTGTCACCTCGGCTGAAGAAGCATTTCTCAGACCCCCATCTCCAGTCACACCCTAGAACCCATAAAAACATAGGACCTATCATATCAGAAACTCAGGAAACATTTGTTGAAATAAATAATCTGCTTGCTCCAGGTTCAGTGTTTATGCTTCCCTGTCACACGAGGCTTTGATTTTAATACACTCAAACATGCTCTCCACAGGCTACAAAGAGACTTGTACTTACTATGTAAGCCCCTAAATAAAACTGTTCACTTCTGTATCTTTAGTGCTGACTCCAAAATAAGTATGAAATTAGTGTGGGCTGGAAAATTTGCCTTATCACAGTGTATTGAGATAAATTTTTCCTTGTAAATTGCTCTCACTAAACAGTGACCTCTTTGAAAGCATGGACTCTATTGTTTCAATTCTGTCCTCTTGGTCTAGGACACAGATACAGAGAAGATGCTGAATAAATGTTTATTGAGATAGTAGTTGACTTGATGGATCTTGTGTGGGTTTGACAAGCTTAAGCGAGTGCCCACTGTGTCAGGACTCCAAATAAGGTGCTGTGGATAATGTAATCATTTCTGAAGATAGAGGCCATGGTGAGGTGCTCTGACTTTCTCTTATTTTTGGCAGGAGGTGGGTGGCCTTGACTGAATCCTCTGTGTTCTGGAACACAACTGACACTGGTTGGGTGAAGGCGGCCTGGACTCTCTTCTCTGCCTGGTCCAATGGAGCTTGCGTTTTTGTGCATGAGCTGCCCCGAGTTGATGCCAAAACGATCCTAAATGTAAGAGAGTGAGAAATTTTTTTCCAATGCTGGAATTTTAGGACTTATACTTGTCAAGCTAACTGTGTTATTCCTCAGTCCTTGCATTTTTTAAACGTTTGTATTGATTCAAGAATTATATAAAATTTATTGTGCTCATATTCAGACCCCTCCCTCCTCTGTCCCCACCTTACTGTGCACATTATAGGTCTTCCATTATTAACATACCCAAGAGCCCTTGCGAAACAGATTAAAACTTGATGTCTTTTTTTGTCATTTTTTAAAAGTTTGTTTTTATTGAATTTTTGTGTATTTCACGCAGAACATCTCAATCAATCTTAATCATCTTTATACCCCGTCCCTACCAGCACCCTCCCTTAGCCCCCCACCCAGAGCCCATACACTTTGTCATTCCTGTTAAGGCCCACTGTATCAAGTCAGTGTCCCCTCCAACATCAGCTTCAAGCCCAAACAACCACATCAATGGCCAGCACAGCATACGTCACTGGTGCAGTAGTGGCACTTTTATCCTGGGGGCAATCAACATCTCCCTAATTGGACTAAAAGTCACTCAGTGGGAGGAAAGTCAAGTGTGGCACTGTAAACATAACTAGATAGGTCTTTTTAAAAATCTGTTTTCAGCCCTTACTTTTTTGAGACAGTCACACTAGGTAATGCTGACTGGCCTTGAATTAGAGATATTCCTGCCTTTTACTTCCTGTGGGAAGGTTACAGTGTGTGCCACTGCATGCATCTCTGAAACACCTCTTGTGCACTGGATGTGAATGAGATGAGTAGAGCACATATTGTAAAGACTGCAGGAAAAAACTGGGTGACTCAGTAACCATGAGGCTTCCCATGCTAGTGCTAGCTGGAAATTCCCTCAAGACCTTCCAGCATCTAGTTCCTAATACCTAGAAACCTTCAAGTGTTGCCTATGCTCCAAGTAGATCCCTAGACACAGAGGTATTTCATCTCTCCAAACTTTTGTGGAGCCAACTCTTTATGCTGCGCCTGACTTCCCTCCTTCTTCTTCACTGTGCTCTTATCAAAACGCAAGTTATTCATCGAACCCTTGGGCAAAATCAAAGTTTATGCCCCAGAACCTTGTGTGACTGTTCCTGGTGCCTATCATGAGTCTTTTACCCACATATGGACCTGATGATTCCTACATTCTTTTCCTGAGGAGGGGAATTAATACCTTTAGTGAAGAGACAGCATCTTTCTTCTGTCCTCCACTCTAATTGGCATTTCTTAAAACCTCCGTGGGGCCATCTGCCCATTCCCATTGTTTTGTGGAAAGCTGGATTATATATGACCAGCCCCATGGGCTTTTCCATCCTAGTCCCTTAATCACCCTGAGCTCAAATCATTGAAAGAAAGAGAGCTCAAATCATTGTCATGGGAAGGAAATGATGCCAGGTTCTTAATGCATAGTACTACTATTAATTCATCATCGTCATAATTCATGTAGGACGGTCAGTCACATATACACCTTTTCTCTCCACTGCCCCCAGCCCTGGCAGTATATTCATTATTTGTTCCAGTGCTATAAATTAAACTTCGCAACTTAAAACAAGCATTTATTATCTCACAATTTTTGGTGGTCAGGAATCTTGAAGCAGCCTTTCCAGGTAGATCTGAGTAAGACTGTTGTCAAGATTTCAGCACCATTCAGCCACGCTCACAGTAGCATTAGCATCAATCACAGTACCTAAAAGGCCATAACAATCCAAGGATCATCAGAAAATGAATGTGTAAACCAAATATGCCATATATACACATAATGGAATGAACCATCCTTTAAGAGGAAGGACATTCTGCTACCTTATAGAATTAATGAGCCCTAACGACATCAGGCAATAAGAAGTCACATTCTACGTGATTCCATTACATAGTGGACCTAGAGAAGTCATGTTCTTTAAGACAAGAGTAGAATGAATGATGGTTTGAGTTTGAGGAGAAAGTAATGTTGGAAATCTAAAGTAGTTCTGGTGATGGATGATGCTGATGCAACTGTGTGAAAATATCTGAAAAATGAATAAAGGGTGTGAATTTATGATGCAGTAACAATTTTGTATGTGTTCGTGCAGGTGCATGGGGATGGCGCTGACAGTATGCATGTGTACACGTGTGTGAAAGCCAGTGGTCAACCTCAAGTGTCATTCCTCAGGTGCCATCTACCTCATTTTTTGAGACAGACTCTCATTGGCCCTGAGGTTTTTAATTAGGATAGACTGGCGGGCCAGCACACTCCAGGGATCCACCTGTCTCTACTTCTCCAGCACTGGGATTACAAGCATAAATTATCAAGCCTGACTTTTTTCATGAATTATGGAGATCAAACTCAGGTCCTCATACTTGTGGGACAAGCCCTTTACTGATGGAACTGCTTCCCCAGCTCTCCAATAATTTTGGAAGAGTTGTCTTCTAGGAATGTGGTCATTTTAGGGTGCAGTGGAGACTAGAGAATCTGCCTAAAACCTGATTTGTGGGTTTTAGCTGATTTCTCTTGTGCACTGATTGCTGGCCAGAAGCATCAGTTCCTCCCTGTGTGTCCTCATCTAAGGGACAGCTGGAGTGTACTCACAACTGGCAGCTTGCCTCCTCTAGGGTCACTCAGGAGAGGGAGAGATGAGCGCATCCATGATGGAAGCCATCCTCTTCGTATAGTCCCAAGAATGATACCCACCACATCAGCAGTATGCTATTGGTAACACAGACTAACGTTGGTGTACTGTGAGAGGGGAACCCAAAAGGACATGGATGCCAACAGGTAGCAGTCATGGAGGCCATCTTGGCAGCTGGATGCCACACATAGTTTTCTATTCTCTGTTTTGATAATGATACTGTGAAGACCCAGTTCACCTGTTCCATCTCTGTGAAGTCCCATCTGAGTGACTCTAAGAAGACCATCTCCCACCTTGTTTTGTTTAGACTCTCTGCAGGTTCCCGATAACCACCCTCTGCTGTGTCCCAACCATCTTCCGGTTGCTTGTGCAGGAGGACCTAAGAAGGTACAGTGTCCGCTTGGCCCTTAGAGGGTCGACATATTAGAACCTATGTGTACACTCGCCTTCTAACTCCAAATTTCTCCCTGTCTCTCTATCTCAGTCTTCCTAGGTTTCCATATCTTGCCTCTGTATATTTTCTCTGTCTCCACGTCTGTCTCTTTGTCATCGTCTGCTGTCTTTTATACACACAAACATATGCACGTACTCACCACAATCCCCCCATCCCTTGAAGACAGTCTTTAAAGATGATGATTTTATGGTCCCTAGAAATTCACATTCAGATAAGAATTATTGGAGTTAAGGTAATATGAAGTGTCAACACTTTTGTCACCACTATACACCCATTAGACTACTTCCTTGGAATTGTGTCTGACTTCTATCAGATTAAAGAAAATGTTGGATTTTTATTAATCTTCTACACAATGGAATTTGTGGCCAGAGAGATCTTTGATGAGAATAGCAAGCTCACCACAGTAGATACTCCATCTTCCTGCCCCAGACTAATCCAAGCCAGTTGTTCTTGAGCTCCTGCCCTTTGAGCACCCAAGAGGTGATAACCATGGATGGCTCTCATCCTGGGAAAATCCAAAGCAATGTCTACTGGTACAGTAGGGCCAGTTGCTGAAGCAAATCCCCTCACTCTGCAGAGACCTATTGATCCTAATCTATGTCTCTCTATCTTTCCTGTCCCATGGCACAAGGAATTGTTCTAATCTACATTCATCTTCCGTAATCACACTCTCTGTCTGTGAAGTACCCAAAAGAGGGAGTTCTCAATGATCCTTGGAGTATATTCTTCTACAATGTACAATCTATCCCATTTATTCATTTCCTGTGAATATCTACACCTTGTGATTTTGGCTTCAATCTCTGAGTAATTCCTTCAAGACCAATTTGGTTAAAGGCTGTTTATTGATACTAAGTAACTCAATGGAATCCATCGGGGAAAAATGACTGAGAATGTATTTAAACTTGGAATGATTTGTGGAACTGAGAGGAAGTTTTTCAACTTATTTAATATCTCTGGGAATTCGGGGACCAGGTTTCATAAATCAGGGATTCCTTAGAAGGCTATTTTTGATGTATTAATTTTAACTGATATATTGTTTTCAATCAGTTCATTATTTCAGTTTATTGTTAATCTGTTTCCAGATAAATTATTTTTGCCAATTCAAAAATAACTGTTATATCAAAATGTACCACGTGAGTTTTCTTTTAACCAAAACTCAGATAGGATTGACTTTAAAATATTTTTTATATTTGAGACTCTTATACATGAGATGGACTGTATTTAGATCATTTTCACCTCTCCCTCTCAGCCCTCCAATTCTTCTCATGCCCCTTGACCCTCAATTTTCTGATCTGTTCTATAATTATTATGGTCACATATATGCATAAGTATGTACATACACAGACACACATACACACACAAACACACACACACACACACACACACACACACACACCCTACTGAGTCCATTTAGTTGTGCTTATATGTGCAGGTTTTCAGGGCTGAGTATTTGGGATTGGATAACCTATCAGAGAGCTCATCTCTGGAGAAAACTGATTCTGGATTGATTTTCTTTAAATGCTCTGTCCTTGAGCAACATGCTTGCTGAGTGGGAGGTGGCACCACTGGAGCAACCTGCGAAGCAGAAGGGAATTTACCCTCTACTGCCTTTGAGGTCTGGACTTGGGCAGCAATGTCCAGAGGGTAGATGTGGAAGGACTCCTAGCACACATGGCCTTGTCTTCCTGCTTGAGAAAGGTACAAGTTTCAAAGCCTGAGGCATTGCTTGACGGGAGGGGAAGCCCTCAACCCTGATGTTCGGGACAAATGGAAGAGCCAGACGGGGCTGGAGCTATATGAAGGCTACGGGCAGTCTGAAACAGTGAGTATGATGCCCAAGGTCACTTCAACTGAGCCCTCAGCCCATCACAAATGATCCCTGACCTTCTGAAGTTACTGCCCTTTCCCTGACACTTGTCAGAGACTTTCTGTCCTAGGGGGAAGAGCTGGTAATAAAACTCCTTTTGGTTTAAAAGGAATCTCAAGTAATTTCACAATTATACCATGACTAGCAAATCAATCCGTCCAATGTATTAATTGTTTGGGTGTAGCTGTTACAAAATATCTGACAGAAACACAACAAAGAGGGAGTTGTTTGTGCCTCGTGGTTATAGAGGGTCCAGTCTGTGGCCTCTTGGCCTATCGTGGCTTGGAAAGAGTATCCTGGCAGTGGACACTTGTGATAGAAGAGGTTCACATCTCATGGTAAAGCAAGAGGTAGAGAAAGGGGAATACTGGTACTCAGCTGGCTCCCCCAACACACATACATTTATTCCATCAAGGCCCATAGCCCATGTGGCGTTGACATCCATGTTTATGGTGGGTATTCCCCAGTCAGTTAATCCTCTCTGGAAACACTCTCACAGATACACCCAGAGGAGAACCTCACTATCTCCCAAGTAATTCTAAATTCATTCCAGTTAACAGTGAAGATTAACAGTCCCAAATGCCCAAGGATGTTGTTTGTCTTCCCTAGAACAGCCTATATGTGTTCCCAGCTAGCTCAAAATCCCAACAGTGACCCCTGCAGCTGTCTGGGCAAAATATGGGGGTTGAGTCTTTTGGCTTACTGATGCGTTGAGTTCTTCATTATCGTTAGGAGGCTTCATAAAGCTTTGTTGACTATGGGAACAAGAGGGAAAGAAAATGAGAGAAAAGGAAGAGAAAGGATAGAGAGGAAAGGAAAAAAAGAGGATGAGAAAGAATCGGGCGGCTGGTGAGAACAAACATGGACCAGATGGACCAGGAAAGAAGCTCAGAGGAGGAGGCTTGCTTTTGTTGACACTGACTTCTCTCCAGGTCCTAATCTGTGCCAATATAAGAGGCTCAACAATCAAGTCTGGATCTATGGGGAAGGCATGCCCACCTTATGATGTGCAGGTAAACAGCCTCTGTCTACTGTTTAGGAGGAGCCAGATATGCACTCTGGGGCACAGGCTTGGCTGGTAGATGGCCTGGCTATGCATATGTTCAGATGACACCCGCTGGTCTCTCTATCAGATTGTAGATGATGAGGGCAACGTCTTACCTCCAGGAGAAGAAGGGAATATTGCTGTCCGCATCAGACCCACCAGGCCTTTCTGTTTCTTCAATTGTTATCTGGTAAGAGGCAAGGAACAGACCTTCTCCCAGCACATTTTATCAATATCTATTAGTTTAACTTTTGCAATAACTATATGAAGTAAGTTGGCACTATTATTTATCAGGAAAGCTGTCATTGGTAAGGAAGCTATGGAAGTGGAGTATTTTATCCACTGTCGCATAACTAATGTGCACATGTCATGGGCATTAACAAGGGTGTGCTGAGGGTGCAAACACGTAACTTCATGGGTTTTTTTTGTTTTGTTTTTTTGTTTAGTCTTTTTAAGACAGGGTCTCCCTGTAGCTCCAGCTGTCCTGGAACTCACTAAGTAGACAAGGCTGGACTTGAACTCACAGAGATCCACCTGCCTCTGCCTCCCAAGTGCTGGGATTAAAGGAGTGTGCCGCCATGCCCGGCACAACTTCATCCTTTTAAGGACAAGAAAAGCTGAGTTCTCGGAAGGTACTTATCAAAAGCCAAATTGCAAGTTCGTGTCAGGGTCAAGTTTTGAGGTTGTTTGTTTCTGGCTTGTAGACTGGACTTGTGTCCTGAGATTTCAGTCCAAGGCCTTTAAATACTCTAATTGCATCTCCTCTAAATCTACTTTGCATAGTGTTTATAATGGAGTTTTCTTCAAACTCTGCTATAAAATCTCAAACTTGGTCATGCATCACACATATTACTGATGCTCACACATCACTTCAACCAAAATAAAATTTTGGAATGATGAGGATCAGGTTCCTAGGTGATTCAAACTTGTAGTCAACAACTGAGAGCAGCTCCTTCACAGAGGTGCTATCTCATGTGTATGCTAAGCTGATTCAACATACATTTTAGAATCAACTTGTCAATTTCCATGAAAGCATTTGTTAGCATTTTAATTGGATTTGCATTGTCTATAAATCAACTTGGAGAAAACTGAAATTCCTACTCATTCATTCTTTTTTACATTTATTTATTTTGTATGTGTCTGGTTCTGCATATGTGTATTGTGTGGGCGCAGCATGTACATGTGTGGACGTCAGGGTATGATTTGCAAGAGGAATTGGTTTTCTCTTTTCATTGTGTGGGTTCCAGAGATCCAATTCAGGTCATCAGACTAATGGAAAGCACCTTTACCTGTGGATCCAGCTCATTGGCTCCTACTCATTTGTTCTGTTTTTCCATTTATTTGTATTTTCTTTAATATTCTGTAGAGTAGTGTGGTTTCTGTGTCTGTATCTTACAGGTTTTATATTAAGTAGAGTTTTAGACACTGATAGTTTCTCTTTTTCCTAAAATGTGTTTTTTGAATGGGGTCCGATTTACATGAAATAAAATGCACTCATGACAAGTGTAGAGGTCAATGATTTTGATAAATGTATGTATTTGTGTATTCACTACCACAGACAAGATATGGACATTATTACCGCCACTGAGCATTTCCTTGAACTCCTTTGCGGTCAGTCCACCCTCCCTCAGGCCCCAGGAAATTGTTAAATTGGTTATCGCTATAGAAAAATCTTTGGCATTTTTTTAAAAGTATATTTTCTTTTTATTTGTTTAAATGTGACATAGTAAACAAAACATAACAGTTTCTATCTTAACTATTTTAAAAATTTATTTAATAACCACATAATTAGTAGAAGCATTTCATTACAACATATTGACATAGTCAATCACAGTTTCCAGAGCAAAGATGCATCTCTTTCAAAATTGGCTGTAAATTTTTAGGTTCACAGTGTTGAATTAATATAGTTATATATTATTGTACTCAGTAAACCCTATAAGACATAAATTGAATGAGATTTTAACCTTTAAAAAAGAGCTCCATTTCATTTTAAAATAGACTGTTTCATACAGAAAAACTCATTTTTTTTTTTGTCTTTTTGAAGCAGGGTCTCCCAGCTGTCCTGGAACTCACTGTGTAAACCAGGCTGGCCTTGAAATCACAGAGATCTGTCTGCCTCTGCCTCCCAAGTGCTAGGACTACAGGAGTGTGCCACCACGCCCGGCTAGAAAAACTACTTTTTAATGCAACTAACACTCAGATCTTTGCACATGCATCTCTAATCTCTACATACCCGATTATTACTAGTCACGGCTGAGTATTTTCTGAGTTCCTTGGCACCTGAGCATGGATATAAAGTCATCAGCTAGATTTCAAGGGTAATATTTTTTGTATCTACTAATTAATATGAAGCAAATTTTTATGCTTCTTCCTCACATATAACTCATTTTATTGATTGTTTGTGTGTGTGTGTGTATTTCATGCAGAACATTCCAAACAATCTTATTCCTCTTTATACCCGCATCCCAAATATCACCCTCTCATAGCCTCTCTCTCCCCACTGGAGCCCATATATCCTGTCATCCCGTTACTGTCCAGTGTGTTATCCATGACCCCAGACAATCCCCAGTCCTAGTCCATCCACTGAGTCAGGCCTATCTATAGTTCCTTGTTTTAGGAAGATCAGCTCTTCCTCATCTAGCAGCAATCAGTTGCTAACATTCTTTTAGATAAGATTAGGGTCTACTGTTCGTTTTCCCCTTTCTATACTGGGTTACTGTCTGGAAGTCTATTGGGCCACATTGGCCAACAACTCAAGGGAAGGTAGCTCCTGTCTATCATTGTTTCTTGTTATATAGCCTTTAGCTATACACATGGACTGTTAAAGAATTATACTGATCACTTTAATCTTTGGTTATACTTTCCTTTTGGGTGTTTAAGACCATAGAGTTGATCTAGATTAACCAATTTATTTTTACTCTTAAGGTCATTTGAGGATCTGTTCCTCAGGACTCACATGGGCTTGGGATGAGCCCCTAGCTCCTTCCTTTTACCAGTTCCATCTATGTGAAGAAAATTCAAAGGCCCTGCTCGACTGTGGATGGCTTCACTTGGAAGCATGGAGAAATGTTTCCTCTGTGTTGACCTTCCTCTTTGTAGACTGGACACTGGTTCAAGTCCATCTGGTGGGGTCCATGGCCTCCTTGATCAAGAGGACAGGTGACTGACTACAGTTACAGGACATTCTGAGAGATGCTACATAGTCCCTTGGAACTTAGTCGACCTAGGAGGGCAAGGAGCAAAACCTGTCCCTTAAGTCCCTCTGACCAGATTAGTATAGGCCTCAAACTATGGCTGTTAAACATCTAAGGTTAGCTCCACCAGTCTGGTACATTTAATTACCATGTGCTATATAGATAAAGCTTGAGCAAAAACCAAACATTCTCAGATATTCCTTGACTAGACATATATTATGTTCCTTGAGCTAGTTGTATGTATTATTTGTCAGTAGGTTGTTGGACTAATATGGTTCCTTCTGGTTTTTTTAAAACTAGCTATGCATTATTGAGCTCTCTCATTGTCTAACACTTCACCATGGTTTCCCCACTTAAAGTGCCCCCATTTTCCCATTTCTCCATTAATAATACCCTTCTCCTGTGGTCCCACCTCTCTTGAGCTCTTTCGTTCCCTTTATCCTGAAGTTTCCTTGTATAAGACTCCCTCCCCCCTTTCATTAAAATAACCCCATTTTATACATATCTCCCTTATTAACAGCTGTTTCCTACTGTTCAGGTTCTTTCGGGTTCTTTCTTTTCCTTTACCTCCCTGGTTCCTTTCATTATCCTGGTTCCTGTAATTATGCCTAGATACATATACTCACTTATAAGGATTTGGTGCTTATAAGGATCCACATATGAGGGAGAACATACGTCATTTGTTTTTCTGAGTCTGTGTTATTTCACTTACTATAACAGTTTCTAGTTTCATCAATTTACCTGCAAATTTCATGATTTTATCTTTCTTTGCTGCTGAGTAGAACTCCATCATATGAATGAACCACATTTTCATTATCCACTCATCAGTTCAGGGACTCTTAGGTTGCTTCCATCTCTTAGCTATTGTGAAAAGAGCATCAACAAACATGGATGTACAAGTGTCTCTGCAATAGGATGAGTTCTTTGGGTACATGCCAAGGAGTGAAATAATTTCATCAAATGGTAGGTTCATTTGTAGTTTTTAAGAGTTCTCCACACTGTTTTCCATAGGGGTTGAACAAGTTTGCAATCCTACCATCAGGGGATGAGCAATACCATTTCTCCCCATCTTCTCCAACATTTGGTATCATTTGTTCTCTTGAT